ACGAAAGAATTGCAGAACACCCCAGGGTACGAAAATTGAGACCATTTCCCAGCAACGACGCAGGAAACAAATTAATGACCATATCGAGGAACGGAGGTTGCCAGATAATGAAAAACCCTGTTTTAAAGCGCTTAAGATTTCTACAGTGAGTGGCAACAGTAACGGACTGTCCATCAATGGGAATATCGATGAAGTTCCTTGCAATTTGATCATTGACACAGGAGCTAATGTTACCATCATTAGGAAAGATTTAGCTGAACAGTTTAAAGATAAACTTATTTGGACGCCATCCTGTGTTACCCTTCAGACTGCGTCTGGTGATAAGATCGACATAACTGGGAAGTTAAACGTGAGCATCACGTTTGGAAGTGCCGCCTACCATCACACGGCTTATGTGGCGGATATTACAGATCCATGCATACTCGGATTGGACTTTTTAAGGAAATACAATTTTTCCTTAGACTTCAAAAACAACAAACTGCTTTCAGCATCTGAAGACATGACTATCCATCCTCAGAAGGGATCCTCACCTGGAAATGCCGACGCGACGCCTTGTCCGAAAGAACCAGCTCGAGAAAGCTGCCGAAATCATACTAGGGTCGAAAAGAAACGCAAGACTACCAGCTATTCTCCATCACAGATGCTCTTCGGTCGAGACCTTCGTCTGCCTTGTGACCGCCTGTTTGATCGCCATACGGATGCGCCTTCATCGCCTGAGGAACACATCCAAGATGTCCAGGCCCGTTTTGAAGTGATGCACCGTTCCGCACGAAAGCGAGTCAACTTGGCGACGGAGAAAGTGAAGTCCAGATACAACACGAGAGCTACTGGACATAGATCCAACAAAGGAGACAAGGTGTGGTTGTGGAACCCGATTCAACGAAAAGGACTCAGTCCTAAATTACAGTCACCTTCGGATGGTCCATATACAGTCCTGAACAGACTGAATGACGTCGTGGTTCGGATCCGTAAGTCTTCGAACTCTAAACCTAAAGTCGTTCATTACGACAGGTTAGCTCATTACTATGGCCATAGTACGTAATGTAAATAATTGTAAATAGTATAAGACCATGGTCCTTTTTGTTTTAAATGTGTATTTGATTTGTATTTAGTATTTGATATGCATTTAGTATTTGATTTAGTTATTTATTGCATTTATTGTTCATGTTGTTTGATATTGTAATGTAATGTTTATGCCTCAGTTGCATTTATGCCTCAGTTGTAAGTTTGGCTTCCTGTCCAGGGATTGTACTGCCCGGGACGTGCAGTCCTTGGGAAGGGGGCAGTGTTACGAATTTGGTATTTAAAAAGCTAATGTTAGTTCAATTATAAATTAAATGGTTTTATTTCTCGCGCAGTGCAGCGCGTGACGAATATTAAAAGAAAGCTAAGCCGGAAAAATTGAAAATACAAGAGCGCGTGCATTAAATAAATAAATATCTCTTTTTGATTTCGAGAAAGTACTAGAAAATTCTAGCGCGTGATTTTAAAATCTTATAAAAGGAGGAAAACATCTCAGTTCGTAGTTGTAGTAGTTGCTTAGTTTGTTGTTGTTGTTTAGAAAACTGCTCTTGTTGATTGTAGCGAATTCGCGGATTAGCTTTCTTTAGCTGTTTTGAATTAACGTTCTATTGACATTTGAGTAGTTAAAAGATAACTACTGTGAGATATTGTAATACTGCATGATAATTTGAGAAAATTTAAGCATTTTTGTTGTGATAATAATAAATTTTTGTTCATTTTTCATCGGACTTGTGCATTCATTTCATAACGAACCCGTACGCACGCCATATTTATTAACTGTAAAGATATAAATCTAAGAGCAAGGTCTTTAAAATGTCAAATTCCCAAATAAACTTTTAAGTCACTCTATATGTTTGAGGGAAATTTTGTATAAGGGATTCGATAATATTTAGTTATTTTATTAGTTACAAATATTAAAATTTTAAATAAATACCTTCTTGTCAGCCACATAATATTGCAATATGGTACTACGCGCAAAGTTATAATTATAAACAAATCATTGTTTTTTTTTTCATTTTTTCCGTCCAAATTGAAAAATAATTTAGAATTAAAATGACCTATGTTAAAAATAATAGAAATATATTTTTCAAAGAATAAACTGGCCCACCAGCGGCCGAGCGGTAAAGTCTCTGAACACTGGTAGTTCGGTCCGAGGTTCGAATCCCGCAAACGGGCTGGCTTCATGCGTGTTTTCGTGGTTTTCCCCATGTGTAACGTGTATACGAGCCAGTTTCCCCTAGAAAGTCCTCCACAAAGGCATCCCTCCCCTTAGGCAGATAGCCCTAGTGTGCTTTGCCATAATTAAATACACACACACAAAGAATAAACTTGTATTATTTTTATATTTATTATTGTAACTCAGGAATGAATTACGTTTTAGCGTAATTAAGCAGTAGCAAACGACATATAATAATTTTCGAGGATAATGCCATGTTTCACATTAGAAACATTTTATAACGTAGACAACAACGCATTACATTGGGCAAATTTTCCGTGAAACAGAGACCTAGTGAGACTCAAGCTGAGTCGATTGGCATTTAGAGACAAAGAAAAGATGAAAGAAGATGCCCCTTAAAAGAGAGTTATCTGATGTTTTTAAGAAAGGAAATTTCGCATCCAAACAATAACATATTTCTCACCATTTTCAACTTAACGTCTTCTTCCTATACCCTCCTTTGTACAGGTACAGTAAGTTAAATTTTCATTTATTTTATCTGTTTAATATTTTATTTATTCTTTTATTAACATTCAATGATTATTTTTCGGTTTGGGGTTTTGAACATACGTACAAAGTACTGTTGCAAAGTTTAAATAAACAATCATCTGTGGTTTAGGAACAAACTAATCATTTTATATTACTTCCTATAGGGAAAACTGTATCCCTTTTATGGACGTTTCAATTGATGAACATGCTTGAGAAAAGGATTAAGTTCATGAACCTAGGTTTCATTGTAGTTACTCAAAACGTATTTAAAATTTCCTCTCTAGCTTTTTAATTCCCTCTTGGAAGATGAACCCAATATTAAATCAGGATAGGTAATTCACATTTAAAACATATTATCTTCTGAATTTACGGAAATAGTTTCTGAAATTCTTCTTAAAATTACCAAGGACAGGTTTTAGGACTTTTAAATACAAAATTCACAGTCTTTGTAGAAGTTTTCTTAAATGTTCCTGGTAAAGAAAAACTCGTAATTTACGAGAATTACTAAGATGTAAATTAAGATTTTATAGTATTGCAGTAAATTCTAAACCAGCTCGGAATTTTATGCTCAACAAGTAAGTCCAAACTATTCCAATTTCTGACAAGGAACGTCTGCTATTCTTGAATTTCAAAATGGTTTGAAAAAAAAGTGCAGTTGAGTATATACTCTTAAAATGAAGGATATCATTTAAAATCAGCTTCTGAATATCTACAGATAATACAGAAAAATATTAATATGAAATTTTTGATTGCCAAAAGCGAAAGTTTTGACAAAATTTGGCAGCATTTAGCAATTTCGGGAAGTTTCCAAAACAGCGCGGCATTGCTAAATTTGATTACATGTACATGGTTTCAACCAATTTACATAGATTTTGCAGCTATTATTTTAACACTGTGTATATTTAAATGGTAGATTCATGTGAAATTTTGTGTGCATTGATTATTTACTGAACCAATTTATAATCCAATTGGTGCAAACACTTTCCCAGTTTTGTCAAAATCGCTGCTGGTGATTCGGACAGAACTGTGTAAACATTTACATTAAATATAAATTTATGACAACATCTGCATTTCTGCACAAAGTCATCATACTGTTTGCTCTTAACTTAGGTTAGTGACTGCTCTTTAGTAACTTACATATCTTTATATAAAAAAAGTCGTTACTGTAACAGATTTGCCTTTGGTAAGCAAAATACATATTTTACAATTTTCAATATAATACTTTTATTCAGCTTGGTACGTTTAGAATATATTATTATTTTTAGAATATATTTTATTCGCTATATATTATCTGTATAATATACATTTAATCCGTTATCTGTGCGCACTGATTACACATGAAGCATTATAACAATCGCAACGTAATTACATAGTTGCAATATAAAGCATCTATAAAGCATCTTCCTGAAAAAAAAAAAAAAAAAAAAAAAAAGGATTAGTTTTCAGAATTTTCCTGAAAATTCTAAATTTCTTTTTTTAGCCTCATTAAATTAGTTCGCGCTGGTAATAGAACAAGTATCCAATCATTTTGGGTTTCGGAAAATAGCAATTTGAAATCGTTCAGAATCATCAGATGCCGGTTCATCGCCAAATATCATTATAATTTAAATATATGGTTATTTGCTTTAAATATATTATAATCTAAATATATTCATTTGCTACACATTTTATTTACAGTATTTTAGTGGAAATTTTTTTATCGCTATGTATTTTAGATTATTTTTAGATGAGCATAGTCATATGAATTTTTTCGAAAATATTTAAGAGTTGACTGTTGGCAGACTTTCCTTATTAGAGTTACTAGAGCGCCTTATTGAGTAAATCAGAATATTGCATCAATACTTTTGCATTCTTTAGGTTCATAGATATCTCCCAAGTGAATCGTATTAAAAAGAGAATTTTTTATTTTATTGAAGCTGTTGAGTGGCAGAACTCTAAAATCAGTAAGCATTAGTAGGATATCGCTCCAACCTTCCTTCCACACTATCCGCATGTGTATCGCACAATAAAACTCAACTCGAAGATTTGCATACGCACTTTATTTCTGTGATTCTTCTTTAGTAAAGGTTCAGTTGCATTCTTTGCCTCTGTGCATATACAATATTAAATTAAAGAGAATTTGCCATCAATATATTTAGAATATTTTAGCAATCTGTTTTTATGTATTGCTAATTGTTTAATTTTCATATTGCTATATCCAGTGATATTATAAAAATTATTATAACATTTATAATCATTTTCATTCAAACTCTATAATTATTTCCTATTTCCTTGTGTTTCAGCGATGCAAAGAGAAGCTGAACACACTGGCCATTTCGGTGATGAATCAATGGCCTGGGGTTAAGCTAAGAGTCACCGAAGGGTATGACGAAGAAGGCTTCCATTCAGCAGATTCGTTACATTACGAAGGACGCGCCGTTGACATCACAACAAGCGACAGAGACATTTCAAAATATGGCATGCTGGCCCGTTTAGCTGTAGAAGCCGGCTTTGACTGGGTCTTCTACGAGTCTAGATCACATGTTCATTGTTCAGTAAAGTCAGGTATGTGTCGTATGCTATACGTGTCACTGTGATTGGTGACATAGAGAAGAAAAATCTATTTTACATATCTTAATGGCTCAAAAATATTCTTTATTCCTAAGTAAAATTGATGCCTAAAATGAGATTTCTGCTTGTTATGCTTAAAAATGTGCGAAATATGCCAATCTTTCCAATCACATGGTTGGAATAGCATTTGAAAATAGTGCAAGCATTTTTGCTGAATCTTTAAATAAAATAAAGTTAGCCGATGGAACGCATCAGAAATTTTTAAAATGTAAGCTATGAACATTTTCCTTTTTCATTGAAATACTAGTATTCTATTCAATAATTCTACTAAAATTTCTTTCAAATACTTATTGTTTGCATAAATTATTCTCTCATTTGTCCCTTTGTTAAAGTGTTTGAGAGAGGTTCCAGCTTCCATCAGCAAGGATTCCGTTAACTTCTAATAATCTTCTATTCTTCTAATAATCTTATCAAAAATGATATAAAGTCAATAAAAATAACATCGTCATGAATAATAAACTGTGTCACAGACCAATTGAAAGCATTCCTGTCTAAGAAACTCACAAGCAGTCACAGAAATTTTATTTAGTTGAATTCTGAATAGAGAAATCTTTCAAACCCCTCAGTTATCTGATGATATTTTCTATTCAAAGACAAAAAAAAAAAAAAAAAAAAAACTAACAGTAGCATAAATTAGAAAAAAATTTCAAATTTCGAATAAAACATGCTGTATATATGCTAGATATAAATGCTGTATATACTTAATAATTATAAAATTATGATGACAAATAAATATAATATCAGTACATTTTTAATTTACATTACTTTTTACCCATATAGAAACAGTGAACTAACAAGTGTTAAATTATATATATATATATATATGCATATATATATATATATATATATATATAAAGCAGTTTCTAAACCCAGAACTATTTAGGACGACATTTTATCTTCTATCTAAGGGAAGGGCTGCTTTAAGAAGTTTCGGGACCCCTATGGTGTTCTTTTAAAATTATACTTTCTTATGGCATGGTCAGACTGCTGCATAATTTATTATCATTAATTACTTTACTTTTATTTACGATTTTATTTAAATTTTACGATTACTTATGTCATATTTTTTGCTTTTGAATAGTTTACAAAATACTGCAGTTTTCACTAATTATATAGAATACAAATGTATTAAAAACTGTAATGCAACACTTTGTAATATTATCAAACATATAATTTTCAGTAAAAGAAACTGAAATGTCTAGCATGCTTTTATTAAATTCAAAATTCTGAAACATTTAATAATTTCTACACGGAAAACCTTAAAATGTATGAAAAAATAAGTCTTACCTCAATATATTTTATTTTACAGCATAATGCTTCTAATCCATTTTTTGCAATATTATGTCATATTCATTTACTTAAATAGTTAGTTTGATTTACTTTTAACCTTAACTTGATCATTTTTTACATAATTTGACTTCATAATTTTGTCACAACTTTTTTTTTTTTTTTTTTCTGATTTCTTTCTTTTTAAGTAACTTTTTCCTACATCTCTTAACTCTTCACATTTCGTGATTTTTGAGCAGCAAACATTTTAATTAACTTGTCAATACTCAATGGATCCGCATCTACCTTTCTGCTGTTATTACAGGAAGATCTCTTAAGTGTCCTTTAGTCACTGAAGATGGTAGATAATTTTTTATTAGCATTAAATTTCAAAAGCCGTTTTCTGTTCTAGTCGCTAATGGCTGCCTTTTGAATACATCAACGATGTTTTCGAAAAGCTATGGCGGGGTAGGGGCTACTACAGCTGCATGAAAGAATTCATAAGCACTTCAAAAATCTATAACTAGGTGTTCCCTAATCCGCAACTATGATTTTATATCTTTCAAAAAGTAGCAAAGTAGTTTTTGAATAGAACGAAACAGAAGCTAAATGTTACTAATTATTAAGTTAAATATTACCAGTTGGAGAGCCGTATTAAGAACTTTTTATTTCTGAAAGTTCTGCGCTTGCAGTATGTCCATAGACTTTCTTTTTCTAAAAAAAAGTGGAGTGATATATACACTCCTCAAAAATGAAGTTGCAGCACCAAGAAAGAATGCGCCTAGCGTCATGCAAATTGAAGGAGTGAGAGTTGTGAGGTGGATATGCAAATGATAAAAGTTGCGTGCGCATTAGATCACGTGGTACGTATATGCGGGCTATAAAGTTAAGCCACTTTCTCTTCTCATAAACAGCATCTGAGGTTTTACGGAGCATTGGAGACTTTAAAAAAAGCATAAAAAATGCCTCTGAGACGTCGGCGAGCTCAATACCATCAGTTAACGACCAAGGAACGTGACCGTATTATCGAACTCCATGAGCTTGGCTTGTCTCTGCGCACAATAGCCACCCGTGTTGGGAAGAATGTGAGTACCATCCAACGTTGTGTCACACGGTGGATTCAGGAAGGTGGTAACGTACACGTCGAAGAGGAAGTAGTGGACATAGGTGCACGTCAGAAGAATAAGACCGGCGTATTCAGCGGTCAACTATTGGAGACCTTTTCTCCACGTCACGTGACATCCGAAGCCGGTTGTCCTCCAGGAGCAAGTGGATCTGTGTCCACCCAAACTATACGCAACAGATCGCATGAAGTACACTTTCGTTCACAGGTACCAGCCACAGGTGTACCATTGATTGCTGAACACAAGACTAGACGCCTGGTGTGGTGTCAGCGTCATAGTGCGTGGACCATCGAATGGCATCGGGTTTTGTTCACGGTTGAATCTTGTTTTTGTCTGTGGAGGAATTACGGCCGTCGACTGGCGACCCGGTGAACGCTACGAAACAGCCCATTTCGCCGAGCGTCACACCGGTCCTGCACCGGACATTATGGTTTGGGGTGGCATAACGTTTTATCACAAGATGCCCCTAGTACACATTAACGGCATTATGACAGCGGACCGCTACGTCACTCAAGTTGTGAAGCCTGTTGTTCTGCCCTGGTTGCAAGGCGTACCCAACACGGTATTCCAGCAAGACAATGCCAAGCGGCATGTCACACGGCGCACTATTAACAGCCTGATCGGATCTGACATCCCATCCTGGCCGGCAGCCTCTCCAAATCTGAAGCCCATTGAACACCTATGGAATGTCATTGGACGTGACATTAACCGAGGACTACGCAAACCCTGGACGATCTGCGTACAGCAGTGAATGTGGCATGGCAAAGGCTACCTTAGGCAGCCATTAATGAGCTCATTGATAGCATGCCTCGCCATCGTTTGGTATTTTCTAGACTAGTTTAGTTTATGCAGCTTAATATGTTAGTACAAACAAGTGTTAGTTAATTTCAGTACCTTTATTCCATCAACAAATTTTAATGTTAGAAAACAGTAAATATTGTACTTTGAACCTCAGCATTTTCCAAAATAAATTAATGCTATTATTTCTTCTCTTAGTTAGCTGGATTGTTTGTAACAAAATTCTTTTGCTACTTCTTGGTGTACTTCAAAAAATTTTTTTAATAAATTTCTAAATTTCAATAGCTAATTTGGCACCCTTTCTAATTGTTCCCGTGAGATAAGTGCTTCGCTTGCTTCATTCTTGTCTCGGCTCTGACAGGAAGTATAAAAAATGAATAAAATAAGATTTTTGTGGAAATTAAGCTAAACAGAATATGTGTCTGTGATAAAACAAAGGTATTAACCTACTGGATCAATTCTCTTTAAACAGAGACTTACACCTTTGGATGTAAAACAACTGGTAACTTCAAACGCATGTTCCTTTTAGTTAAAACAGTAATAACATAAGAATAATAAAAATATTTACTTAAACAGTTAGTGCATTAATTGATTGGAAGTTCAATATTTTGGGACCCTGTATTACGATTATACATTATTATATTGAAAGCCAAACGCTACGGATTTCATCGGGCCCATAATTTACAAACTATTTGTCAGATCTCCGTACAGTTCATAAAGGTAAAAGTCTGCTTGTATTTAATACACGAAAACCATAATTGAAATTTTCTGAATTTTTTTTAGCAAACATTTTTAAGTCTCATCTTAATTCAGAGTAATTTTCATGCAGGAATCATTTTTCAACCTCATTACATATGAAAGGAAATTTTCACTTTCCCCTCCCCCTGATATGGTATTACGTCTTTCTTTGGCCTTTTACACTTTAGATGTATTCTGCTCTGATTACATTAATGTCCTTTCATTTTAAAGGTTCTTTCATTTAAGTGCATTAATTTGCTGAGTTTGTTCTATCAGACAACAGAATATCGAGAAGATTTATTAGTAAAAGAGAGATCTTATAATTTTATAAAAATAAAAATATTGATTTAAAGAACGTATTCGCTGAAGTCTTTGATAGAAATTAAGTTTTATTTAAAATTAAAGTTCCTTTAATTTTAAATAATACTTTCGAGGTTTCATTTAATAACTGAGATTAAAGTGTGTTTAATGGAGTTTATTCACTGGAGTAGGCGCATATGCGCAATCAGAGTGGCGCGATTAAGCGACTCTCGGATCAAGAGGCACGTCCAGCGCTCTTTCAAGGGCCTTCAAAGTACGCTTTACTTGCTTTACAAGGGATAAGTAGGATTATAAGAATTTGCAGGGTAATGTTTCGGTCCCCTGAACTCAAAGGCTTTAAGCCAAGTTTTTTTGGACTTACGCGGTAATTAAACCTTGCGCTAAGGAATGTAATTTTCCAGAATTGTGCTTTGTTATTATAGTTGCACGAAATAATTATTTGCCGCGTAAGTTTTGATTTGATAAAACAGTTTATCATACAGTTTCGTAAATTTCTTTTGCTCTAGATATTGCAGCTTGTTTATGGCTGCAATATCTAGAGCTTGAGTTATGAGAAACAATACTGAAGTGATCTCTATTATTTTAAAAAATAGCAGTCTTGCTTTACATACAGACAAAATTTGCATTTGATTTTTGCTAGTTTTCAGAAAGCTATTATATTTCGAAAGAAAGTAGACTATTTTAGGA